CATGCCTGTAATTGATGCCCTTCTAATTTATAACCTCATATAGATCTGATTTTAATTTAGGAATTTCCTGTTTTGAGAGTTCTCAAAGTCCCTACTTTCATTTTATTGTACTGAGTGATTTGTGAGCATTTGATAAATCTTTTATTGAGCCCTTTCAAACCTTCCGTTGGTTAGTCAAATATTTGCGTGTATCATTATATTTTTTTCTCATGAAAATAACTAAAGCTGTGATGTAGTAAGCTATCAGCTTACAAATGGTAATGTAGATGGAGAGTTGTTGTAGATTGCCATCCAGTCACTTATATTACATGGCAATCCTATGTGCAACAGTGTGAAACAGACTTGATCCTGCACCATCCTCACAATTGTTATTCTATTCCAACCTATTACTGAAGCCACTGTGTCAACTTGTCTTGTTGAGGATTTTCCTCTTTTTCCCTGACTCTCTACATTATGAAGCTTGATGCCCTCTTTCAAGGACTAGTGCCTCCTGATATATCCAAAGTATGTGAGACAAAGCCTCCCCATTCTTCTTTCTGAAGACTTTTCTGACATTACTTCTTCCAAGACAAGTTTGTTTAATCTTCTGGCAGCTATGACACTTTCAAATGCCTTATGCGGTTATTGCTGTTATTGTTGTGAGGTGCCATAGAGCTGGATCTGACTTACAGGGACCCCACGCACAACAGAACGAAACACTGCACGGTTCTGCACCATCCTCACAGTTGTTCTTGTGCCTGAGTCCATTGATGCAGCCACTGTATCAATTCATCTAGTCCAGGGTCTTCCTCTTTACCCCCCTCCCCCACTTTACCAAGCACGATGTCCTTCGCCAAGGACCTATCTCACCTGACAATATGTCCAAAGTAAGTCCAAAGACAAAACCTCACCATCTTTGCTTCTAAGGAGCATTCTGGTTGTACTTCTAATACAGACACGTTTGTCCTTTGAACAGTCCATGGTGCTTTTATTCCTCTTCTCCAGCACTACAATTCAAAGACCTCTATTCAGGGTCCAACTTTCACATGAATATGAGGCATGGCTTGAGTCAGGTGCACCTTAGTCCTCAGGGTAACATCTTTGCTCTTCAATACTCCAAAGAGGTCTTGTGCAGCAGATTTACCTAATATGCTATATATTTTAATCTCTTGAGTTTTGCTTCCATGAGAACTGATTGTGGACACAGGTAAGACAAAATCCTTGGCAACTTCAAGCCTTTAAGACCCCAGACACTATATCTTTTGGTAGCCAGGCACCATCAGCTTTCTTCATCCCATTTGCTTATGCACACATTTGTCTTCAGTGACCATATCAGGAAGGTGGGCACACACTGTAAACAAGCGGCCATCTAGCTCAGAAGCAACAGGGCCCAAATGGAAGACACACCAGCCTGTGTGACCACGAGGTGTAGAAGGGATCAGGTATCAGGAATCTAAGAACAAAAACTCATACCATTGTAAATGAGGGTGAGTGCAGAGTGGACACCCAAAGCCTATCTGTAGGCAACCGGACACCCCCTAACAGAAGGGTCACAGGGAGGAGACGAGCCAGTCAGGGTGCAGGGTAGCAACAATGAAGCATACAACATTCCTCTAGTTTTTAAATGGTCCCTCCCCCCCACTATCATGATCCCAATTCCACCTTATAAATCTGGCTAGAGGATGTACTCTGGTACAGATAGGAACTGGAAACACAGGGAATCCAGAACAGATGATCCCTTCAGGACCAGTATTGAGAGTGGTGATACCAGGAGGGTGGAGGAAAGGTTGGGTAGAAAGGGGGAACCAATTACAAGCATCTACACATAACCTCCTCCCTGGGGGATGAACAACAGAAAAGTGGGTGAAAGCAGACATTACAGTGTAAATTATGACAAAATAATAATAGTTTATAAACTATCAAGGGTGCACGAGGGATTGGGGAGCAGGGAGGGAGGTGGGAAAACGAGGAGCTGATACCAAGGGCTTAAGTAGAAAGCAAATGTTTTGAGAATAATGATGGCAGCAAGTGTACAAATGTACTCGACACAATGTATGGATGTATGGATTGTGATAAGAGTTGTCCGAGCCCCCAATGAAATGATTTTTAAAAAATCCTTGGAAACTTCAATCTTTTCTCCATTTATCATGATGGTACCTATCAGACCAGTTGTATGGATTTGGGTTTTCTACACAGTTATGGAAGTAGGCAAGTCCAGTCCAGTATTACTTCCATGCTTCCTGAATCAGTTAATATTTTGATCATAGAATCTTACAATATATCCACTCGAGGCTTGAAGTTTTTCTTCAGTTTGTTCAATGGGAGATATGCTGAGCTTGTGCTTCCCTTCTGGTTTTCTAAACCCTGGTCTTTACACATTTCTTTGCAGAGTTTTTCTTTGTCTTCTTGAGCCTCCCTTGGAAAATTTCAGTCAACTCGTTTACTTCATCAGAACTTTTCCTCATTTGCTTTAGCTACTCTATGTTCAAGAAAGTTTTCAGTATTGGTTCTGACATTCCATTTGATTGTTTGCTTCGTTCTTGTCTTTTACATGATCTTTTACTTTCCTCATGTATGATATTCTTGATATTTTCCTTAAACTCCTGGTATTCGATGTGTCAGTCTGTTCTTGAGGTTGTCTCTACCTTCGAGTTGGATAAACTCAAGGCCATGTTTTGTTCCTCATGGACCACTTTTAATTTCCTCCAGCATCAACTTGAAATTAAGTTGGAGTAACAGGTGCTCTTTTATGTAGTCTGCCCTTTGCCTTGTTTAGATTGATGATAGTGATTTTCTCTATTGTCTCTTTCCATGGATGTGTCAATTTGATTTCTGTATATTACATCTGTAGAAGTTCATCTTCATTGCAATGAAGAAATCTTGAGTCTTTCAAAATTCTACTATGTAATCTTCAGCTTTGTTTCTGGAGCCTTGTTGGCTTGTGGTTATGTATTGGGTTCCTAACATCGAGGTCAGCAGTTTGAAACCATCAGTTTCTCTGCTCAGGAGAGAGATGAGACTTTTAACTCCTGTAAAGAGTTACAGGCTCGGTAACTCACAGGGTCAGTAACTGTAGGTCGGTATTGCCTTGATGTAGGTGGAAAAAAAGAGTATTGTTTCTATTATTTCAGCCATATTTTCCAACTATTGCTCTTTCCTCTATGTTTTCAACTGTTGCATTCCAATCACAAGTAATTATAAATGCATCTTGATTCCATATTTGGTTAATTTAAGAATTAAGAATTTGGTAGAATTTTTTAAATTTCTTCATCTTTTGCATTAGTGGTTAGGATATAAATTTGAAAAGTATTTTTTATTAACTTCCTGTAGGTATATAATTAATTTATCACAGAAAGCATTGTATTTCAAGACTCTACTCCTTTAAAGTTTTTAATTTCCATCGTAATAAATCATATGATTATCCACTTCGGTATGGCCAATACTAGTCCATTTCAGCACAATAATATCTAGGATATCAAACTTTATGCATTTCATTTCTTTTTGGCATCTTCCAATTTTTCTAGAGTCATATATTGTACATCTCGGTGTATTATTGATAAATGAGAAACTGTATCATCTCATTTGAGTCATATCACATTAGCAAATGAAAGTCCTGGAAGTTGTGTTCTTTCCAAGTCATTAAGTTCAATTATAATTTGAGGAAGTATTTCTTCCCCAATTATGTCTTGAATGCACCCAATTACGTGGCTCATCATCTAGCACTATACCAGACAATGTTTTACTACTACTTCACAAATGGACGATGTATTTCTTCTTTCTATTCTACCATGGTGACCTGCCATGGGTGACCCTGTTGGTATACGAAGTACTGGTAGCATAGCTCTTCACAATCACAGCAACACCCTGGCCACCATTGTATGACAAAGCAACAGATAAGTGTTGGGTACATAGAATTATTATAGATAGATAGGTAGATAGATAGATAGATAGATAGATAGATAGATAGATAGATACATAGATATAGAAGATATAGATATGACATAGATATAGACAATATAGATAGATATAGATCTATATATAAATATAGATGACATAGATATGACATAGATAGAGATAGAGATAGACACATAGAGGCATAGACTTAGGTATATATAGAGATAGGGATATATGAAGGCTTCTCCTCTTTCATATGTCATAGGACAGGCCATTTGGAATAATTCTATATAGAGGTGTACATATAAAAGTTATTCTAATATTTCATTTCAACAATGTAATATTTTTCTCAGAAACTAAAGCGCAGTGATGAAATGTTTTGAGTGATATGTTTTGCGGGAACCCGTCTTCTCAGACAGTGTTCAGTTTGCAGTGCCACAGGTTAAGAACACAGCTTCAAAAAGTTGCTAAACATGCAATTTAGTCAGACTATTCCTCACAAAGTATTTGCTGATTTCTCTGGTGTTATATTTCATTATCACTGGCTTTGGAATTATTTAAAATACCGAATTATTTAAATCCTATGACTAATTCAAAATATTAACATGATGAGATATAGGAACACAACTCTTTGAATAACTCCTTAGCTTCTCCTTCACTTTAGAGTGCCATGTCCTGTACATGGTGTAAAGTCTAATAAATGTTGGATGGAGAGAGATATAGTAACAAGAAAACTAGACTGCAAGAAGTAGAGTTAAATTCTTGGACCAGTAATTAGGGAGAAACACCTTGCAAAACGCATGCCCAGCAAAATCCTGAGGAAAACATTTCAAAATGCTTTGAAGTGAGTCCTCTCAAAGAATCAAAATGCTGTAGTTAATACTGTACACAATGATGCAATTTGTCTAAGATGTGCATCGCTCTATGTTAATACTGTACACAATGATACAATTTGTCTAAGATGTGCATCGCTCTATTTGATAAAATGCCATGTGTATTCCATCATGGTATGTTAGAAAATATGAAGTGAAATAACTTTATATTTAGCATAATTCCTCTTTTCTTTTATGCATTTTTCTCCCATCAAATGAGGTTTTCCTTTTTTCTATAATAATGTCTACTCGGGTGCATGGGTTCGGGTTGATGGCAGGTCCGATCCCATGGGCCTTTCACAGTGTCCTGTGCCTCAGCAAACTAACCCCAAACCATTGCCTGGCTTTACCGTGGGCTTCAGGAACGGAAGCAGGTTGCAGAGTGAAAAAAAGTATATCTATTCTGCTTTTATCCACTCACATCTAATTCTGCACACATGCTCAGAAATAATGCTCCACCACAAGTCCAACTTTCTACTTTTATTGTGACTGCATCATGATTTACCAAATATGTCATTCTTTCTAGAAGTAGGTAAATAGATTTGTTTGTTTATTTCTAAGAAGTTAACTATTTCAAATTTATTTATATGAGGGCTATCTTTTTTGATTCTTTGCAGAAACAAAAACCAGTGAAGTATTGATAAATGTATGTTAAGATAATTTTGTCTCAAGAAAATGACTCAAACCATTATGGATGCTGGCAGTTCCCAATTCTGAAAGTCAGACAAAACTCTGAAGATCTCTGCTGTCTCATTTGGTTAAAGAGAAGTATAAACCCCATATCAGGGTCAGGCAGGTAAGAAACTTCTGTCAGCCTGTATCCAAACTGGTCTGGCAACAAGGAGAGTGTAGGGTAGAGTAAGAGAATGAGTATTTGTTGAGCTCTCACATACAAGTCATTTGCCCTGGGAAATCCTCCTTTCACCTAATTGGCTACTGACATCAGATCACAAATTTGAACCAGCCCAAGCCAAGTTGCCAAAAAGGAGAATACAGATATGCTTTCACCCTTTGCAGTATTTACATAATCTGGTGTCGATTTCAGAGGATTACAAGTGAAGGGGTGGAGTCTAGGTTTTCAATCAGGATATAGCCAAGGAACCTTCTGTGTGGGCATGGCCTTCCCCTAAGGATTCTGGAAATTCCTGAATTTCCTCCTTGGTGGTGGGAGACAGTTTCATTCTGTCTCTGTCTCTCTGTCTCTCTGTCTCTGTCTCTCTCTCTCTCTCTCTCTCTCTCTCTCTCTCTGTGATCATTCCCTTGGAGACTCTCTATTGACAAAACATATGGCACTCAACTGATGACCCTGTGCCTTGGGAACTGAAGAAGCCACATGGAGACTCCTGCCAGTGCTGAGATGCTTATAACATCACTGGATCTGAACACTCTCTACCCACTGGCCTGTGATAATCCTGCATTTGGTGTCATTGCATGTGTTCCATGAGTCTAAAGAGGACTTTAAAGATTGGTATCAGACATATGGGCTAATATCAGACTTATGGGCTTGGACTGGACTGGGTTGGGATGTTTTCTTAATGTACAATTACTCTTTATATAAAACTATCTCTTATACACATATGAGTTTCTATGAATTTGTTTCTCTAGTCTACCCAGACTAACACACCCTCCATCCGTGTTTACCCTATTCTGATAATGTGCTTTCTCACAACACTACTTCTCTTCTGGGTTCAAGAATCCACCATAATGACCACATATAGCTCACAGACAAACTCTCAATTATAGGGACTTAGTAGGATTACCTGGAGGCATAGTGGCGATGCATTGGGAATCAAACTTCAAGGACAGCAGTTTGAAACCACCATCTCCTCCAAGGGAGAAGGCTTGATGGGATTTCTACTCCTATAGAGTTACTGTCTCAACACCCACAGGGGCAGTTCTACGCTGCCCTAAAGGGTTACCATGAGTCCAATCTACTCAATGGCAATGTTTGAGGGTTTCTGTTGTTCATTAGGTTGTCCCAAAGCAGAATCATAAAACACAAAGAATACAGTTTTTCATTTATCTTAATATCTTTTGCAGATCAGTTGTTATTTACTAAAACCAAACTTTTATTGTTCCTTTGACCAATTGAGCTACCGGTGTTACATTTAAAGATTTATCACCAATACTAGTTCATTTTGATTTTCTCTATGTTTTCTTCTAGAATTTTCAAGCTT